AATAATTCAATCTTGAGGTTTGTGGAAGTTTATTAATTGGTTTTAGGTTGGAATTGGTTCCCGAAGTTCCAGTGAGAAGTTGTGATCAGTGGAGTTAACCAAGTCGAACATGTGGACAGTTACTCAATGACAACATTGGATGGAGGTCGCGCTGTATCGTGTACTGACAGAAATAAGAAATATGGACCATCGGATTCTGACCCAGTGGCTCAATGGTAACGTGCTGGCCACGGGACTTGAGGGTTGTAGGTTCGAGCCCTGGTGGCGTGAGGTCATAGGTGCGCACTGCTGAGGAGTTCTATACTAGGACGAAACAGCGGTCCAGTGCTCCCAGATTTCCAATATTCCTCCAACTGACGTCAATCTGTGATGAATTCTAGTCTAAAATAAATTAATAAATCTTCAGACAGAAACAAAACAGTTGCAAATTGCAATATTACATAAATTTATAGTGGTGTGAATGAATTCGAACATTGTCAATACACTGTTTGTGATATAGAGGATAGAAAATGCCACCTTTCGGTCCTAAATAGCTCAGCGGTGATATATGTGTTAATGATACCACTGAGTAAGATCCAGGCTCAATCACCTAATGACTGTCGGAAAACATGAAAAGTAGGTCTTAAATGAAGCTTTTTCTTTTCCCGTTTAAATCGAATCATCCAATATTACTGTCAAACTGAAAATAAATGCACTATCGAGGTATCCGCACAGGACCTTATCTGTTAAAAAGAGACCGATCAATTCGGTTCAGTCAACGCCAAGCAATGGCAGGAAACTATACCCGTCGCACAAGAAGTAGCCCTCGTGACTCGATCGTCTAGTGGATAACGTTCTGGCGTTTGAAGCGATCGGTCCTATGTTCAAGTCTTTGTGGGAACAAAATCGCTCACCGGAGGGCAGGTACGTTCAGCTGGCGAGTCTTAAATAGGACGAAACGCGCGTCCTGGACTCAATTGCTAACCACTACGCATCATTACTATTATCAAGTTAGATTTGTCAATATTTTGACATAACGGACTGATTGTAGTTAAAAGATAACCTGGATCACGAACAGGAATTCGGACCAATAGCCGTTAGCAAGCGTGACACTTACTTTTAACCAATTGTAATCATCACCCTCATTACGTTAGGTTAGTTTACGGAACTAAGACTCACTCTCAGTTAAGGGTTGTTAAGTAGAGCAAAGTTGAGTCTGAAAAGCGATAAGTACAGTCAGCACAAATTTATGAATCCTTCAATTGTTGGTCTGAAAGATGTGAAAAACTGTAAGAGTTTCACAATTAGTCTAGAGACATTGTTGGTTGACGAAGGAGGTGTTCGATGTTTCTAACTTAAAAATGCAAAATACAACACACCTAGTTGAGCTGTAGCTGTATTGGTTTCTGGAGTAGTTGACTTTCAACCAATAGGCCATGCGTTAGAAAGCTGCACTCCGCCTACGGAGGTTTGGGTTCATTGCCTACTGCATGAATATGCTGAAGGTTGCTGAATGAATTTGAGTCTTATCACCAAATACTTTACCATTATTCATATTTTATTAAAGTGCTCAGTAAGGTTATATGTTTTATTGAACTGCTTTGTTTTTTCCTTCAGTTTTCAAATTCAACTTTTCCATAAATAGGAATTGAAGTATCGCTTGTTTGTACATTATCGGGTTGATAGTGTGTGTGTGTGTGTGTGTCTATGTTTAGAGATGGGTCAACAACTTACTACTCTTTAGGTTCAATGTTTATCTTATCGACTGATCACTGTTACAGCATAGCAGGTTATTTTTGTAATCTATTCAGAAATTCTTATTTACTATTATGATTATGTTTAGAGCTGAGCTTTTTTTTTCCAGTTTTTATTGCGAAAAAATGTTTTTACAACTATGAGTGTCTAGTTTACCGTTGATGTAAAACCCAAGTGCTAAAGATTAGTATTTTCTCTCAAATATGTATGTGTACGTTGTATTGTGATGACTGAATTTGATCGAGTATAGTTTTACTATGTTAAGGACGTGTTAAATGACACGATATTTTATTACGTAATATTTTTTGCATATTTCAAAGACCTGCTGAATACTAGTTCGTATTGTTTATTGTTTAAGGTCGTATTTAAAAGAATATAATCCTTATGAACTATCCATTCAGTGATTACTTGAGAATCATTGAAAAGTGTAGAAGTAATATTGTTCGCCTGTTGTGCTGCATTGTATTCGATGATATCTCATCAGTCCAGGTTGTATCTTCATCGGTTGTATCACATTTCGTTGTTTGATTTGAACTCTAGTGTACGTTGTGATAACTTGAGTTGTTATGCAGTAATGTTATACCATAAGTGGATTTCAAAACGATTCCCATCATTAATCGATATCACTTAGCCAACTTTTGCAAAACAGAAAGTATCAGTTAACTATTTCATCCTGGCGTGAGACTCATCAGTAGTGTGCATCCACTTCCCCAAACAAGATTCGACTCATAACCGTGAGATTGTGTATCTAGTATATCATCTGTCAGTCAGTTGGTCGAAACTCAGTGACCTACCTTTTTTAGCTATTGTTTATTGGAAGCATAGTGAGACTGTCGTCCATCATCGTCGGAAAGTTGTTTTCATATCCGACATAGTGGATCCCACAGGTCACAGCTTCTCACTGTGTCTTCTCGAAGTCTAACTCGATTTATAGGAAGCAGTCATAAAATGGTTGCGTTGGACTTTGTGTTTGTACTTAGTATCGATCTGTGGTTCAACATTTCTGGAACTTTAGGGAAGTGTGATCGTTGTTATGAATATTTTTTCTCTTTTATATTTATTCATTGATATATTTAAATCATTATAGGAATACACTGCTAGCTGTAATTTTGAGGATAATGTTGGCGAGAAACTGATTACTCTGCTTTGATAGTTCCGACCAACATTAAGGTGGTCTTCTAAAACCGATACTAACTGAGTAATCACGTTCATATGGGCGACTTCTACAATGTACCTACGTGTCTGCCACGAAATTGCTACCATGTACTCTGCACTTCGAAACTTTTTATTGAGAGTGAATTTGCTGTTCAAGTTGAAGTATGAGAGTGGGGAAACTATTTTATTTCAGGTGTGATTAAGAGACAGCATTTATTTAATTTCCTATACTTCTAAGAAGTGGTAGTGTATCGGAATTCTTGTTGTTATCAAATAACTGCAGTTAATTGGTTCATAAATACTATGTAAGTATTTAATATTTAGTGTATAAGGGAAGGAAACAAGGATTTTTGGCTACGTTTTCACTCATAGTTAACAGTTTCAGAAAATATCCTGAATTCACTTCTTACATTTTCGTATCAAGTAAATATATGGATTCCATCAACAACTTTCTTAGTTAATGAAATGAGACTTCCTTAAAGGAACAGATCAAGAGGGAATTCGCACGCATGTCACACCATATAGGGGTGCATTATTGTTTGAAAGTGAATATGTCTGTTTCCGGTGCATTTCACTGAAAGGATGTGGATGCTAAGACCCAATACAGTTTCATTGACCAACTGGAAGCTTATTACGGATATTTCATTCAGTTGCACTAACGACCATTCCAAAGCTTTACTTTAGGTTAAAATAGGATGCCTCTGGTAACATTTTACTTTCAGCCTACCTAGAGTTCTGATGACTATCATAAATAATGTTTCCCGAAGTTTTTTTATCGCTTAAGATAACTCACTGAGGTTATTTAAAACAATATTTTTTAAGCAATCATCTCTCCATACATTTGGATATTGGGATAAGAACATGTTAACTAATATACATCAAGATTGAAGGCTACTCATGAGGATATTGCAAACAATGGTTTACAATGGCGAGTGATGTCAACTCAGGTGTCAACAATTAAAAATACCAAGCCTCATTTGATTATTTATTTAGTCCCCTTATGGTGTTTGCGAATAAAAGACATTTCAATCTGGTTACGATACTATTGAGCATCGCTCAAGATAGCATAAAAGCAATAAGTTTCCCTAGATTAATTCCGATTAAGGAAGAAGAAGAAGAAGAGGTAACCTGTCTGGATAACGAGTTGAGTAACATGACGAAATATTGATGAGTGACTTGTAATCAAATTGGGTAGTAGTAGTTGCTAGTACCTTGGAAATGAATAGAAATAAAGATTTGGTGGGAGGGGGGGGATTTCTAAAAAGGGTATGGTGAGCGTCGATCAATAACCCTGGCATAGAAACCACCAAATGAATGTAATCAGTTTGAATCAATTTACTCGCCTAATTAATTCCAGTTAAACAAGAACACATATCCTGTCTGAATAACAAGCTGAGTAACACTACATATATTTATTAGTGAATGAATGACTTGCAAATGGAAGTGCGTATGGAAAGAAGTAGTAGTTGATGATATCTAGGAAATGAATGGAGACGGGGACATTCAGAAACGCGAAACCCCTGTTTTTTTTCTGAACTGTACACTACCTAGTTGTAGCTACTATTAGCTATAGCTGACCACACGTACATTTAAATGAATAAATAAGAATGAGATGTGGCTTTATCTTTCGCCTGTTTCAAGAGCTTTGATGGGTATATATGCTTTGACTTTTCAATTATCCGAACTTTAATAAAGCAAAACTTCCTCAGTTTGGTCCGTTGTATGGCACTTTTCGATTTCGCGCAACCAATCACATGAGATATTTCCTCGTCCATTTTGATTGGGCAACAAATGACACGGAGTGTTGGGGGGGGGGAGGGGTAAAAAATAACAGTTCAGAAAAATCATTACCGTGGACCAAATGTATTTCGCAATAAGTTATTGTCTCTAGTTTAACAATCTGTTGACAAAAACTGTATGATTCGATCAAGGATTATTTTTAAGCGCATCTTATTGATACATAAAATGACTGTTCAAAATGTATTAGAACATGGGGAGTAAATCATTTTTAACAATTTGTCATTTTTGTTGTTGTTGTTGTTGAATTTTATGCTTTTTTTCTCATCGGTTACTTTTTCAATGATTCTTTTAAAAATTTTTTTCTCCTATAGTCTTATTATCCATTCTAGAGATTCTGTTTGCTCAGATGTTCCAGTACGCATAACCACCCTTTCTGTAAGTGCATACTTTGCAATCATTGACCTTATTTTGTTTATCCTGTCATAGTAAAAGAGTAGAACTAGACACTACTGACAGCCAATCAAGTTCAAATATGTACTGACCAATCAGAATCCAGCCTATGAATGACAACGTAATTATTAAGCAAAATGGTATTTTACTTAAAACTTTTAAATCGATTTTACATGATTATCTACATTTGCAATAGGTTTATTGTTCCTGAAATCATACTACTGTCTGTATTACCAGTCATCCATATGAGACAATGTCATTCACCCTAGTGATCCTATTAAAACATCTTAAGACAACTGAAAATATTTTCAAAGTTGTTTATGTGCACTCTAGTTGTTGTGAAGAATAGCTTGATGAAGATAATCCATTTCAGATAGAGTCATTTATAAATTCCAAGCATCTGTGTATATTTTGTGGTACCCAGTGCCGCGCATTTTTCTAGAATTGATGAGACAGATTTTTCTGATCTATTATTTATCCACTGGAAATGTCTTTTCTTCATATTTCAGTTTCATATATACAATAAATCTATGGTTTGCCGAGACATATGTATGTAAATTACTCAGTCTTGTTTAAGTCGTCTTCGAAGGTTATATTTGCATTCTGAATGAGACATCCTTTTATTTCGACCATATTACCTACTCTACAGAATTTCACTTCCAACGTCATCATCGTAATTCATCAAACGTTTATACAGCGTGATCAGCATAGTAAACAGACATGACGAATAATCTTCAATTAAGCACCTATATCCTTATTAGTTATCATTAGGGTTTATCATCACTTAATTTTATTTCTGCTAGGCCTAGGTTAGAGGCAACCATAGAACTTGTGGTTAAAGTTGGTGTATCTAAACCAATTATAGACAGCATCATATCTGTATGTATTCACCTGTCAATAAATTTTCCCACTATGAATGATATAAATGAGTGTTTATGTGGACCGTAAACTCTCATCGTTATTCGGCGTTAACCTACAAGACAGACACGGTTAATGAGTGTAGATAACTTATTTTGTAAGTTTGACATTTTGAATGGTTTTCCTCACCTTTTTAGTTCAATTCCATTGATAGATACAAAAAGAAACTAATTAATTTACTAAATACAGTTCAATGCTGTTTCAGAGATCATGAATCCAATTCAGTATTTGTAGTAGTCAGTCATTTTTATAGTTTTAACAGAGTTTTACATGTTTACATGTTTAACATCTATATGTAACACTTTTATACATAAATTCTGACGTAATTAATCATATAATTTACTCCGGTAGAATATATACTTGCTCATGTTGTGGGTAGAAAGTGAAGTAGAGATTAAATGTAGACTTATTGTAAATGGTTTCCATATACGCGCTGGTCTTGGGCCAAACAGCTACACTATATAATTCTATGTAGAAGTTTGTGGGGATTTATTTATTCCTTTCAGGTTGGTATTCATCACCGACTGACCAGTTGGAGAACCACTGGAAACCTGCAAGAACTGAATAGATGTTTCATCCTAGTATGGGACACGAAGGACGTAATTTGGCAGCTGCTTCAACACTACGGTTTTACTGCCACAAACTTTTATCAACCTCCTTCAGCAGCAGCTACATACAATATGATGCTACACGCTAAGTGATTCACAACACAATGGAAAGCTCAGTGATGCCTTTGAAGTGAAGTCATGAGACAGCAGTGAAACAAGGTTGTCGCCTACTATCACCGATCATCTTCCTGATTGTGGTCGCCTCGACTGGTTGTCATCATGCAACAAACTGTGAGGAGTTGTGGGAAGATGGGAATACGCTGGTTGACTGACGAAAAGACGACAGAAGAAGATTTGAACTTCGCCAATGATGACCTATGTCTAACGTCTTGTAGCACAAACTCGAAGTTGTACAGGCGAAAACCAACAAGTTGACAGAAAAGGCAGGGCAAGGCAGGGCAGCACAGCGAAGATGGGACTTCCTTCAGGTGAACGCAGAGAAGGCAGAGGCGATGAAAACACCAAAACAACAACAACAACCAATCACCATCAACGGGAGAACTCTAAACGAAGTTGTCTCTTTCACCTACCTACCTACCTACCTACCTACCTACCTACCTACCTACCTACCTACCTACCTACCTACCTACCTACCTACCTACCTACCTACCTACCTACCTACCTACCTACCTACCTACCTACCTACCTACCTACCTACCTACCTACCTACCTACCTACCTACCTACCTACCTACCTACCTACCTACCTACCTACCTACCTACCTACCTACCTACCTACCTACCTACCTACCTACCTACCTACCTACCTACCTACCTACCTACCTACCTACCTACCTACCTACCTACCTACCTACCTACCTACCTACCTACCTACCTACCTGCCTACCTACCTACCTACCTACCTACCTACCTACCTACCTGCCTACCTACCTACCTACCTACCTACCTACCTGCCTGCCTACCTACCTACCTACCTATCTACCTAGGCAGCGTCGTTTCAACCACACGAGGCAGCACAGGCACAGATGAAAACGTCAAAGCCAGGATCGGAAAGACAACAAGACAGGCCCTCCTGCACTAATCTGAAATAATCATTGTGGAGATCTACTACACTACACTCCACTCCACTCCACCGTACTCCACTCAGCATAAAGCGTGAACAATATCCACATTTTCAACACCACTAATGTCAGTCAAGTCAGTGATTCCATGTGATGGTTGGGAGATTTGGCGCCTTACGAAAAGCATTCGCAACAAACTACACACATTCATCAATAGCTCTCTACGCTCGATACTGGAGATCAGAAAGCCAGAGTAATAAGAATAAGCAAGGAGGAACTCTGGCTGGCTGGCTGGCTGGCTGGCTGGCAACGAATCAACTAACCAATAACCCATCGCCCAACAAATATGCAGAACGAAATGGAGATGGATTGGATTGAACATACACTGAGAAGACCATTTAGGGACATCACATGTCAGACCACGCCAGACCGTCGAGTAGAACCCAAAGGAGAAACGATGAGTTGGGTGTCCGAAGTGAGGGTGACATGAATGAGATGGTGTGAGTAAGAAATGAAAGCTTCTGGGCAATCGTGTAGCCAGGTTGGAAAGAGTGCAGAGAAGAGAGTGAAATGTTGACGTGCCACTGAAGCCCTGCGTTCTAATAGGAAACTAAAGGACAAATAACAATAATAATAATAATAACAATCAATAATGGGACTACTCAACAGTGCACATCCATGACTCAGGTGGGGTTAAGGTGAAGACAGTTACTCAACGATGGCATTGTATGAAGGTTGGGCTGTATCAAGCATTGATTTTTAGTAGCACGTGTATATTTAATTTGCATTTAGATTAGCTACTACTACTACTACTCTCTGCATTCAGCTCACTTCTGTTATGCTTACCTCTGTGTGTTTTTTATGAATTGAATATCTAATTATATCATTTGTGAGGATTGTGGACTGAGATTTCATGACAATGTAAGCAACCTATAAACTGTTTTGTAATTGACCAATTTATTTGAAATCAGGTTGCATAGCCAACAGACTTTACAGGCAGCCATTGATAGTCGAAACGACCTAGAATAGGCAATCCACTTTTAAGCTATTTGATACGCTTCTGAAACCCTTTAGTTGTGAATTCCAAGCAATGGACTACAATGTTGATATTTGCGCAACTTTGCATAGTTTGGAATCTGAAGGCGTATATTGAGTGTAATTTTACTACGTTACATTAACGACTATTGATTGAATGAAAATGAATACTCAGATTTCCAGGATGACTTATGCAGGCCTGCTAAACTGTTGCTTGACCAGTCATAGTACGTTTGTAATAAGGTAATTTAGGATTCAGTTGTTGTCTGTACCTTAGATATTCTAAAGCCAGTTGTTTACGTGTTTGAATCCATCTATTTGAAATTCACCAATTCGCCTTTCATTTTATTAGTGGATATCTGATATTTTTACGTTTTAATGTATTTCATTTCAGCCTTGTCTTCGTAACAACGATAGTGTCAAAGAGACTGTGAATGTAAATCAAATTAGTACTGTACAGAATTGTAGTTGTTTCACCCCAGCATTTATTCACCCTAAGGACGGTTTTCAATATTTGATAGCAGGTAATATTCATGGTCAACTATTGGCATGGTGCATAAAGATTGACTCTCTTGATTACCACATTCAAAGTGGATTATTATCCGAAAGTAAGACCGACAATTTTTACTTAAACTATTGACCTACTCATAAGTAGTTAACTTCATATTTCTAAATATATATAAATATATATATGTATATTTCGTTTGAAAGAAAGATTGCCGTTCGCTTCTAATTCAGAATTGTGTCCACAGTTTGGGTTGTATTGACTGTGACGATAGTTTCCTTGGAGAATCGTCCCACAACATTGTCATACGTGCAACAGAGAATGTGAGGTGCTTGATCGATTTAAAAGTAAATCAATCAAATATTTGTTAAATACACAGTCCATAGTGAGACTTTTCACCGTTTTGTTTCCTGTGGAAACTAAAATATTCAGATCATATTATATGATCTATGTGAAATGTACTACTAACTCGAATGAGTAGTTGTTATAGATCACTTACACTTATCAGCGCTGTTAGCTAGCGAAAGCAAAAGGATCTAAACACTGAGTGGTTATTTTAATGCTTGAATGGTCTGGTCACACCTCACTGTTGATTGGCGTGAACAGTCTATAACTACTTATGTCAATTAGTATTATATTTTGCATAGAACTGCAAAACTGAAGGATTCGCTTATGAAATCTGCGATTGGTGTTCATACCATGTATCGGATCTTCAAAAGACGGTTTCCAACTGTAAGAAAGAGAGACAGTTAATGCATCCTAACACACCTACCTGAAAAGTAGACCTACTAGTTGATGACATTGCGACTGTTGATTGCAATCGTGTCGTCTTTATCCTTTATCTTCGTAAAAATTCAATCCTCTTCATCTTCACTATTTCGATTGTTTACTGGTGATTATTATTATTGTGAATTATTTTATTTTATTACCTTTATCACTTTTTATTTTGTAGACATTCCTACAATTACTCCTGTAAAGTTTAGCGATCTTCAAACTGTATGGAAAAGATATGCATCACCTAATATAGCTGCATTTCTAACGGTAGGTGGTTTACCGATGCCTATTGTTTACTATTCAACTTTGGGTATTTTACAGCAATTGCTTCATTTTATGCTCTGATCATGTATCTATGTTTATGCTGGCTATTAGTATTAGTGGTAAGGCAAGGAAAAATTACCCTTCTTTATCATTCACCAAATCTTACAGACAATTCAGTTTATAGTGTGGATCATGTGTTCAAGTTATTGTGTCAGTAAAGATAAGAAACTTGTGATTTTGATCGATTAGACCTACTCATCACATGGATTTATGTGTATAGACCTGTACATTGATTGGTCGCAGGAGAGTAACCATTTTCACGTTGTTTATTCCATCGATCACTTTTGCAATGTGGCCACCAAGCTAGGAAGGCTCAGCATCGCGGTGCCAATTGATAGTTGTTAGTTAGTAATGTCCCGCCGAGATTTGAATCCGTGTCATCCATTGTTTTAGTTAGCGACGTTACCACTGAGCTATTTGGGCTGTGACTGACCTCCTGTAGGATTGTGTTACATACATTGAATGGTTGCGGAAGAGAAACCAATCTCATGTGATTACAAAACTATGACTTACTATGACCTATTTCATAATTCATATCTGCATAGTGAATAACTTAATCAATGTAGTGTATACACAATTACTGAATTGTTGTGAATGCAGCTTTACCCTTTGCATGACTGATTTTGAACTGTAAACACAAGATATTGAAGTGAATAAGCGTGTTGAGTGTTTCTTACCGACACATTTTCTCATTTTATGTTGGAAGGTGACCACTTTGGCAGAAGACATTGTTTATTAATCTGAGCATTCTTAAATTATCGTTTTTGCACCATTTTTTACTGCATAGCCAGTAGTTCATTTCCTCTTATTTTCAAGGTAATTCTCTGGTTATTGGTTAATGCTTGCTTTTACCATAATAATGTTTTTAATTCTGGGCAAGGTTATATGTCGCATATGTAACACATGTATTTTTGGGTCAATTGACTATTCTCGGAGGTATCAAACTCTCTGATTCAGTCTATTCTTTTTCCCTATTTCGTCTGGGGTTTCAGTCAGTGGATCTGCCGTACAAGATTAGCTATCAACCAAGCATGTATGTTATATCCCCTCAAGAACATATTTAATGTATTCATCTGAGTATTTTGGTAACCGATGCAATCTTGATGTGTTTGTCATCTTACATATCTTCATTGTTGACATGATGAAGTATCTGTGCACTGAACGTTGGGATAACTACTGTATATCATTACATTCAGTATTACATGTGAATCTTTATAGTGAGATCACTTCGACTAGATAGTATCGAGAAATTTGTTAGCAGTTAACCACTGATACCCTCTTAGACGTGTAAACATTGTATAGAGGACCGTGAGGATAAAAACCATAGATTTAGATGTAGCTTGTAGAGCTGTGGGTCATTGGTTTACACAGTTGATTTTCAACCAGTGAATTACGGGGTTCGAACGCCGTCCCAACTGCCGAGGCTTAAGCACCCAAGTAGTACTAATAGCCCCCAACGCGATAGGTTTCACCCACTGTCTAATACATGAACGTGCATGTCTTCGCAGACTACACATCGTATCCTATAGATGTAGCATTTGAAATAATGAAGTATAAAAACAAACATTACACGGTGTAGCCTAACTAATACTATTCACAATGAAAGAAAAAGGAAACTTGATGAAATAGCGAATACGTAGATATAGGATGAAATTGATTTGAGAGACATTAATCTCCACCGAAACTGATTTTGAGAAATTATATCTTAACTATTTCAACATCAATGTCTGTTAGCTCAAAGATATCAATCACTTTGTAATTTTCTGCTGCCAATATCTGATCCATTTTCTAAATTTGAGCTAATCTAGCTAACACCACTCACATACAGTATACTGGGTTGATTGAGTTCCTTAATTTGTGTATTCGCTATAGTATTCTCTTTGGAGCTTTGGAGACTACTGGTTATTTTAATCTACTCTTGTTCATGAATTCTTTAATTATTGTAGAATACTACTGTAGTGGAGGTTGCTGATCAGAATAGATGTAAGTAGTATATGTAGAGAGGGAGGCAGAAATCATAGGGAATTACCGACAGTGGGTGAGGGTTCTGACCAGACAAACGCAAGAAACAACGCCGGCACATTAAGGGCAAATCAAGATAGATTTGTATTTATCAAATAATGATACCTTTGTTCTAGATATAATAGTGAATAATGATTTTTCTTGTTATTCAGTGTCGAAGACTGAAAATAATATGAATAGAATCTAATCGGTTGGTTTGTTGATACAATTCTGCTTTGCTCTATGCTTTACATAAAATTTTGATAATGAGCTATCAGAAACTTTAGAGTTGGATTTTATGATAGCTGTTAGTTACTGTTGAGATGCATAAAACATCATGAGGAAACACTGCTATTTCTTCAGAGGTATGCACTCACATCAACCAGCTTCACAGTCGAAAATGTTGACAGTGGTATGAATCCGTACATTTCTTCTAATGTTCTAAATTAACCATACTGATATGTGTCAAAAAGAACGATATCTAACTTCAGGACTGTTTGTCTACTGACAAGAGATTTTCTAATACTGGAATATTCATTCAAATGATGCAAATATGAATGATGATTATTTATACTGGGTGATGATTGCAGATGAAATGAAAATTTGGACCGAGCCGGTACCCCTGGTGGTCGCTGTTTCAAATCCCGCCATGGTTCAAATTCTCATTCCACGTTCAATCATCACACAGTATAAGTACAAGTCCGCCAAAGCATAGCTGTCTCAGATAGTCAAAATGATGATTATTCATTTGATAATTGCTTATTTCCCTGTCACTATTTTTCTTAATCTTATTTCAATGCAGAAGTCGATTACGGATTCTGACTGCCATTCCAACCAATCTCATCCTAAGTCATCCTTTGATCCCACAGCAACATCAACAATCTTGTGTAAAGATGCTGTTAGCAACAAGAGTGATGATATCTGTGTAACTGTATGCATACAACTTACCCAGATTATATGCCATCAACGTCTTCAAGATCGACCTACAATTCATCCGTATCGTTTGGCGTTAGGTTTATCCAACGGACGTATTGTTATTGTTCGTATGATTGACTTCTTAAATACAGTTTATTGGAAGAACTATCACAAAGCGACAGTTGATGAAAGGGATGAACTATTGACACAGCAGCAATACCAACAACTGTTCGACCAACACACTGGATTGTCTAAATTCTATCTTGATGGTCATATTGGTGCGGTGACAAGTCTACTACATCCAGCCAGTTATGAAAGACAATTTTATTCGCATGACTCGAACTCATTAAATCATGTCAATAACGGTGATAATTCTGCTGATGATGCTGCTGCTGCTGCTACTACTACTACTACTACTACTACTAACATTACTACTAATCATGGTAACAGTGATAGTGGTAGTAGTAATACTACAACAAGTTATCATTACAACCCAAATCATCTATTATCCGGTGGAGTAGATTTCACTGTCCGCCTATGGGATTTAAATCCGTGGCATGAATCCAGCAATAGTAATAAGTTAAAGAGTATTAAAAGGCCGGTGGGTAATAATTCTCAAGGTAGATCATTATGCCTGGCTGTTTATCGATGTCATGCATCACCGTGTATCGGTTTGACAATTGGCCCACCTGTTACATCTGTAATCAATATGGTTGCTGGAAATCCTAGATTGACGGTTAGTTCTGTTGTAGACTGGTATCAGTATTATTATTGTTACTAGTGATTTCTACGTGTTTACTGTTAACATATTTGTATGCTGGAAAAAACTGTTTGTCAGCTTGTTGGAGTCTTGACGATACTGACGATGGCACCCACTAGGATGTCTTCAATTCAATTCAAGTAGGATGTAGTAACACTATTGAACTGTGTTTTAGCCATGATCAACACAAATATAGTAATGCAGTGTAATCGGTGACAGTCATTCCTAGTCTCACCCATCATGTAGAGATACTAAAATGAGGAATCACTCAGTTTCTTTAGCCTAAAAAAAACAATCGAACAGCAAAGGTTATCCTTAAAAATTAATATTATTATTTGTCCCTTAGGTTCCTGGTGGAACATAAGGCTTCAGTAGCACGTCAACATTTCACTCTCTTCTCTGCACTCTTTCCAACCTGGCTACACGATTGCCCAGAAGCTTTCATTTCTTACTCACACCATCTCATCCATGTCACCCTCACCTCGGACACCCAACTAATCGTTTCTCCTTTGGGTTCTACTCGACGGTCTGGCGTGGTCTGACATGTGATGTCCCTAAATGGTCTTCTCAGTGTATGTTCAATCCAATCCATCTCCATTTCGTTCTGCATATTTGTTGGGCGATGAGTTATTGGTTAGTTGATTCGTTGCCAGCCAGCCAGCCAGCCAGCCAGCCAGCCAGCCAGCCAGCCAGCCAGCCAGCCAGCCAGCCAGCCAGCCAGCCAGCCAGCCAGCCAGCCAGCCAGCCAGCCAGCCAGCCAGCCAGCCAGCCAGCCAGCCAGCCAGCCAGCCAGCCAGCCAGCCAGCCAGCCAGCCAGCCAGCCAGCCAGCCAGAGTTCCTCCTTGCTTATTCTTATTACTCTGGCTTTCTGATCTCCAGTATCGAGCGTAGAGAGCTATTGATGAATGTGTGTAGTTTGTTGCGAATGCTTTTCGTAAGGCGCCAAATCTCCCAACCATCACATGGAATCACTGACTTGACTGACATTAGTGGTGTTGAAAATGTGGATATTGTTCACGCTGTATGCTGAGTGGAGTACGGTGGAGTGGAGTGGATTGGAGTGTAGTAGATCTCCACAATGATTATTTCAGATTAGTGTAGGAGGGCCTGTCTTGTTGTCTTTCCGATCCTGGCTTTGACGTTTTCATCTGTGCCTGTGCTGCCTCGTGTAGTTGGAATGATGCTGACTGTCTACGTAGGTAGATAGGTAGGGTAGGTGGGTGGGTAGGTGAGATTTCTCCCGTTGATGGTGATTGGTGCTTGTTGTTGTTGTCTGTAGTGGTGGCGGTGGTGGTTGGGTATTTTCATCACCTCTGCCTTCTCTGCGTTCACCTGAAGGAAGTCCCATCTTCGCTGTGCTACCCTGCCTTGCCCTGCCTCTTCTGTCAACTTGTTGGTTTTGCCTGTAGATCTTCGAGTTTATGCTACAAGACATTAGATATAAGTCATCATCGGTGAAATCCAAATCTTGTAGGGTCCTTTCATCGCTCCTCACAGTTTGTTTCATAATCCAGTCGACCACAATCAAGAAGATGATCGGTGATAGTAGGCGACAACCTTGTTTCACTCCTGTTTCATGACTTCACTTGAAAGACATCACTGAGTCGATGAAATAGAGGTAGAATTGAGTTGACTGCCATTCTGTTCTCTGTTCTACGATAATGCATAGCGTATAGTTACAATTTGATCGTCAAATGATTTGTTTTTCGTGAAACCAGCCATCCTTAAAAATCAGTCATCTCTATTTGATTGTATTTAACTTCCGACCTCTTGGGCTCAATAACTTAAAAATGATAATTTTTAATACTATCCCTCTCTTCATTCATAGTTATTCACCCATTAAATGATGTATTCGTCATCTTTTGATTTTAATTTACACCTGATTTATCACAAATATTTATTCACATTGTGAAATGATTTAGTCCTTCTTATGTAACTTTCGAATAACACATTGTTTTCCTGGTCATAATCAATCAAGAATTATCATTTTACCAACCATGTTAATACTGTTTGCCAATAAATGTTGATACCAATCATATTTCTAAGCGATTGTAGAGCCTTTGAGAATTACATCACTAAAAACAAAGCTATTCGTTGCATTCTTTTTGTAACAGACAAGGAAAAGTTCGCGTAGAGCTTCGCGCACAGCTGTATCGGTTCAAGTCGCCACCCTCCACGGTAGTTTACAAAGAAAAGGTGGATAGAATAAGAGTGGTATCAAAATAGACATAGTTATGTGAGAGAATAAACAATCTGACGATGAGGTTTGATGCAAATATTCGAGCTTTGGAAGACGTCAAAGAGTGAATGCATCTGCACCAGTGTGACCGATTTTCAGCCATATCACGGAAAGTTCTCAACCAGTGATTCATATCATCTCGAAGACTCCAGCGAAATAGTTTATATTTCCCAGCCGGACTGAGACCAATAGTCAAGGAATTCGTCGACTGCTGTATGTATCTCAAATCAGAACTTTTTAAGTAACTTTGTTATGTCTTACTGGACACAATCTTTGCGATTTGATTTCATTGGACGTAGGTTTTACTTAAGCTGCTTATGCGCGTAACCATCTATGGCTTCTTAATGGAAAAGAAATCGATTTTCTTCAGAGGGTATTCTAGTCGAATGTGGTTGTTTTCAGTGCGTTGTGACAGAAAGACAAATCAGTTTTTCATACCTGATATAGAAGAGCATTACTTCACGTTTCTGTACTTCACAGTAGTCTGTGAAGAAGGAGCGAAGAGAAAAGTGTATGATAGTTGACGAAGAATATATGAATAAAGGTTGTTTGTTGACTAAATAGTAGAAATGTACATTTAAGCTTTCAAATCTGGTTTGTTTTAAACTTCTGAGGGATTCGCATGGTACTGAAGTTATATGGTTTGTGAAAACTTTCCTAGTTAATTAAGGCCGATTTTATATCTCGTTTTAGGATAGACAATATATGAGATAATTGGCGTTCCTAAGAAACGAACACTGATGGTCGCTGGTTTAAATCCTGCCGTGGTCCGAATTTTCCTCTCCACCTTCAATCATCAACCTGTATAAATACTAATCTGTCAAACCACGGCTATCTGAGATAGTCAAAATTATCAACACTATAGTACTGGTAGCACTGTTGTACTGTCATTATTATAAATTCACCCTCAGGGATTGAATTATTCTGTAGTCATTATTGGTAATGGCTCGTCTAGTTTCACTTCTACTGCTCTCTAGCAAGACTTTAAGGAAAAAGCGTCATAGCCTACTAAGTTCCATTGACTGTCCGCACATATCAACTAAGATGTCTGTGTAGTAACTGCTGTTAATAAGTTTTTAGTATTCTTTTTCCATTTAATAAGTGATTGGTAAGTTAGGATTTTTATTTTGGAAGCCTAATCACTTGCCATTAAACTGTGGCTCAGTAGTCTAACTATCGGAGAAGCTTTCCTTACCATTTCAAGCAACATCATTAAGACAATTATTTGACGTCGAGATCATAAAATCTTTTTAGTTCTTTGCTTTTCTTTGTGATTTCTTAACATTTGAATACCGAGATTTACACACCCTTATGTGCTGCTGTCTTAAGCTCTGTAGCATTTCATTAATGCTGTTCACTATATTACTTATAAGTAGGTGGAATGTTTAGCACAAATCTCTTTACTTTCTTTTTGCTGCTTATTGCTTGATTCAGAAGTAGTGTGGTGTTCCCTCATTCATTTTTACTCTGTTCTGTCTTTAGTCTGCTTGTTCAACCTAAATATGAATGTTTAATTTGAATTCTTCATTATTAAACACAGGACTGCTGATTGCTATTATCATTATTACTCACGTATTCCAGTGGGTTCAACAAGCCATCACACATTAGGTCTGACTTATAGCTTAGTATACTAACCGGTTCGAGATTACTGAAATCTGTTGTTTTTCTGTTTACTGAATACACTGGTCGGATAGTGATGATTGTGTAAACCAACCTTTGAAGTAAACTATTTCACTTTGCTTTTCTTAGTGTTATTTATACATGTGTATATTTGCTGTTTCGTTTTAGTCATGTATCTGTTCATTCGGTGCAGATGGTTCTGTTTGGTTATTCAATTTAAAAGAACAACGTCCCATGTTGTATGCTCGAAATACCAGCAGTTTATCTTCATGTCCAGTTGTGGCGATTGGATGGCGAGTTGCCGAAGATCTCTTATTTATTGCCTATTTAGACGGCAGTGTAACGGTTTGGGATATAACAATGGGATGTTTAGAACGGTATGCGTTTAGTGTGTGTATTGGTCTTTTATTAAATTTTCCCAGAACTATATGTGTTCGTCAGTTACGTATACACACAAAGACTAGTCTTTTTAATACAGATCATAATTGGATTTTTTCTATCTATACAGGTTTGATTTAGGTTGTTACAGAACTTAGATTGTGTAGAAAGTGTTTGAAGTACCGATCAGTTGATTTTAACTCTGCCGACTAGGTCTTGATTTCCAATTGTTAAAGAAGAAAATAAATATCAGAAAAAAAAGCTGCTACTTATTAACCTTGTACGAGGTTGCATGTTAGGTGGCGATGAACTACAACCGGATATTTGAGGGTTATAATGTCAATCCTTGGTAAATTTAACAGATTTCGAACGTGTGACCTATTGGTTAAAAATTACGAGTGTAACCCAATGAACTATAGTATGTTATAGGAAAGAATTGCATGTTCCATCCTATTTGAGAGTCATCAACTGGATGTACCTGCGCCCAAGTCAGTGATATTGCTTCCACCAAACCTCGAACATAGCATCTATCGCTTCAAACGCCAGAGTGCTTCAGTAGGCCACTGGAGCACAAGTGTCAAATTAGCAACCGCATACATGTTTTTTCACCAGACTATGAACCACATCTGTTGTATGAAGGTTGTTCGAGACTTAATACAATAGTAGAATTGTGTGAACTAGTAACCTGATGGTTAGAAGTTCAGAGCGTAGTATTGTGCTTCAACTTCCCATTCTATGAAAAGATTAAAAACTTAGCACTGATCCTGGAAACGATATGAATTAATTATGCCAATTAAGTGGAGCTGTAAATAATTGTAAACAAAGATTTTAATGGTTTAAAAGTGAGCGTTTCAACTTTCCACTGGATCTAGTGCAGTTGCGCATTGCATCTTGTAGTTTTTCAAGATTTCGTTATACTAATCTATTACTTTTAGAGTTTGTTATCTCAACGTAATGTGTATTGTATTCCTTTTTTTGTATAGCGTGGAAACTGATCAATCAGCTAGGGATCTATTTGAACAAGCCCAATTTATCACAGAAGTTTATCATCCGTCAACCTTTTTGGCATTCACCTTTTCAACAGTGTCATCAATAACTATGTCATCGTATAAATCTCGATCGTTAGCCGGTGTACCTAGTCACAATCCTATATTTACATCACTTGCTGTACCATTCTGTGGTGGTGTAAACTCTGCTTATTCTTCAGGTTGTGTTTCGTTAACTGCACCTAGTCGATTAAAGTACTCTACAATAGATGATATACAAAAGTTGTGTACAAATTGTCTACCACCTGTACAGTTGCATTTAATTGGATCAACTAATAGTGGTATACAACAAAAGGTTTACAGTGAAAAAACAATGAATTGTGGTCCAGCTGCATTTGTTTTCCATTGGGATATTGAGTCACTTATAGGTAAGTGGTAAGTTTTGTGTTAAATTACAACAAGAACAGTGTGTTGCTATCGCTATTATTAATTATTTGTATTATCTCAGTGAGTAAGCTTTTATGGGGCATTGTGTTGACTAAAATATCCGGATAACCGTCTTGATGTTCTGTCAGCTGAGCTACGAGAACTGGCCACTAACTAGGTTATCACTTCAGTTTACGGCTCGGTTGTTAGAATTCTACTACGACCTACACTTTCGTTTCACCTTCAATCATTATCTCATATCGTGAATTCTAATCTGACTGACTGCATGACAAAACTAACATAGAACCTCGCATCAGCTCAAGTTGCCACACTTCACAGTAGTTTACAAAGAAAAGGTGGATAGAATAAGAGTGGTATCAAAGTAGACATAGTTATGTGAGAGAATAAACAATCTGACGATGAGGTTTGATGCAAATATTCGAGCTTTGGAAGACGTCAAAGAGTGAATGCATCTGCACCAGTGTGACCGATTTTCAGCCATATCACGGAAAGTTCTCAACCAGTGATTCATATCATCTCGAAGACTCCAGCGAAATAGTTTATATTTCCCAGCCGGACTGAGACCAATATTCAAGGAATTCATCGACTGACGTCAGGTCTTGATTTGGCCACTCTGAACCCTCTTCTGGCTCAATCCAACTTCCCCTAGCATGACGTATCGAGGTAGGCAGTGACTTTGGGTGCCAAGTACATATCCATACCACCTCATCAGTCGATTTTTCTGTGTTACCTATTGGCCTTCTCCTGACCTGAACATTGCTTACTCAATGATATCACCGTGAACCAACATTGTGTACCATAGTCACATCACCAACCAACACGATGCTCAAATCCACTCATACAGCTTGTTTTGGATTGGGATGAGAAATATTCACTGTAATTATGATAAAGAGGTAGTTATGTATCACAAAAGTACATGACGGTCGCAAAAAAGGTCGTGATAATTGAAGCAAAATTAAAGCCTGATATCACAGCTGAGCTAGTAGAGCTCCAAACCTGTAACTCGGAGGCCTCTGTTTCGAATCGTGCAGCAACCCAGGTTTTCACTTCACCTTCAATCATTTTCACGTTTCTTTATAGAGTAGCTGCAACAATACCAAACAGGTGGTAATCGATTCTCTTGTCCATGATTCTTGCTAAGTACTCTGAAGCTACTTGGTTAACCTCTAAATTCTAGTGTGATTTCAACAAAAGACCGAGGGTTTCAATTTCAAACTGATGTATTATGTGATACACTTCTTCTATAGCATCCATTCTACTACAATCGTATAGCGCTCGGTTAACTTTGAGCAAAAGTGCATCACTGTAAGTTGCTACGTTTTGCAACAATACAGAAAGACGAAATCAACTGAAATTGGAATACAATGAAGCAAGTTAGAAGAACTTAGATAGATGAAAAAAAAGTAATATTTACTGTTAACTGATGCTCATAATTTTCATGACAAAGCGTAGGTATTTTTGCATTTCGTTCTGATCAATTTTGAGTTGTTTCATATTACTGCTCTAGTTCCTTTACATCGATTTTGGAAGGAACCTAACAAGATAACTAACATACGCATTATTTTATCCGAACAGGTTATCTGAAGTGTACTCAGCAACTGGATGCACTTTCATGCAGTAGGCAGTGAGGTATACTTATTATATGAGGGCTAATGACACTACCCAGCTGTTCAAACTTTGGTAGATGCAGAGAGGTTTGAACTCATCAATCACTGGTTGAAAACCGATAGGTCATAACTCCACATCCTCATACTAAGGTTCGACAATTAGTTGAATACTTCGTGTCTCATTATTATGATATGTACATTAGAGGAAGTCGAGGTTCAAAATATGTAACAGATGTCCTAGACACTTGAGTTGGTGTAGGTTCACAAAGTCAGCCAAACTCGTGTAGATTCCAGCTTCAATCATGCTAGCAAATATCATTTCAGTTAACTAATTATAGTGTTATATTTCATTACTGAACAATGTAGGATATTCAAAAGCTAATAGAATCTTAGTGTCTAACCGATTTTGGAATCGATGCCCCAGAAACACTGATCTTGTTATCTTATTATCAACTAGAGAACAGACTCATCTATTCCCTAGGATTCCCTTACAGTAAATTTGTTAAACACTATATTAAGTTGTTGTGCAAGTGACTATTTGGCTTGTGTAGACTTTTTCCGCACACACACTTACCACCGAGTCAAGTTGTGTTTGAAGTTTACGTGGAATAACTTCGCCTATAAGTAGTAGGTGATATATTTCATTGACTGTTTGATTCTATACTGTACCAGTCTTATCTAATCTTACTATTTAAGCCAAAACAATAACTGAACTGATTGATAGAAGTAAGTTTAAATCTTACTTTCATCTTTTTAGTGTTCGTTTCAGTAACTTAATTTTCTTTTTGTTATTTTTCTCTTTCTTCCTTTCCTGTTTCTATTTAGTTGAAATTTTATCACAGAATAACGCTGTTCAAAAGGATGAATCGGTATGCTGGTTTATTTCTTTTTATTTTGTGTTGTTTGAAACAAAAATAAAAACGCACCGTTATTTTATGTTTAACTTCCATGAAAGTAATTACAATAATAACAATAATGATAATTACAATAGTAGAATACTTCAATTTTAAAGTCTATGGGGATTTATTTATGGATTTCAGGTTGATATTCATCATGGACTGACATCAGTTGGAGGAGGATTGAAAACCTGGAAGCACTGGACAGCTATTTCGTCCTAGTGTGGGACTCTTCAATAGTGGGTACCCATGACCCCACCGGGGGTCGAATCCAGGACTTTCATATCCTATGGCCAGCGCGTTATCAATGATTTAACTTGAAATCGGTAAAATCCCCATAAGCTCTGTCCTGTGCTCGTTAGTGACATGTTTGAGAGTGAGATTCCGGAAGTTCCAGTGAGAAGTCGTGACCGATGGAGTCGATGAATTTGTACATGAAAACAGTTACTCAACGACGATATTGGATTGGGTCTGCGCTATACGGTGAAGTGAGTGAAGTGAGAAATGTGAACCATTGGATTCAGACTCTGTGATCCAGTGGTGACGTGCTGGATGTGGAACCTGAAGGTCCTGGGTTCGGTCCCAGGTGAGGTGTCTTAGGTGTACACTGTTGAGGAGTCCCATACCAGCATGAAACAGGTGTCTAGTGCTCTCACGTTTTCATTAGTTCTCCAACTGATATCAGTCTACGATGAATATCGGCGTGAACTCAGTGGTAGAATGAATATGGGATTATGTGTAGTTCATCGATAGGTGACGCAAACCTTTTGAATTATCTAATGGTCATCGAATTTTATACTGAAAGGCATGAATAACGTTTGCATTGTTGTCAACGATGACGATGATGATAAATGTTTCTTCAACTGGGAGAAAATTTTGTGTTCTGTTTATCTTGGGGTAAAGTTTTCTCTAGAATGTTTGAAATATTCTTTAGTGGTATAGCTCGTCACCTCGGGTACTTCAGCTTCAAGCTGAACATCCCAGTAGTCATCGTAAGCGTTGATATGGTAGCCGTAGCTCATTATCTTGTACACAGACATGTACTCGATTGCTGAGTTACATTGACTATTGTAAAGTATTTTCACTGGGGACTACTGAAGGTTACTGTGGTCTGTAGCATCATACTACTGCTGAAATGACTTACCACACTAAACTTTTATTTATTTAGTGTAGCACACTACGGTACAGTATTATTTACTAGAATAGCATTGTGATAACAATTCATTCCTCATAATCATTCATGTCAAAGTAATTGGACAAGTTTCAAGCTACTTTTTCTACAATCCAATATCTTTTTATTCTTTGGTTTTTAATGGCAATAGAGTTTTTGAAATATCTGCAGTGTGTGATACATCATTCCCGTTATATGTATTAGATGTGTATTCGTTTAACAGAGATTCTGTTATCAGCCATTCTCTCTGTCTGGTAGTTATGTTGGACACTAGTACAGTTGCTTTGTCCCATCGTATTGTATGGTTGTGTGTCAATGCATTCAGTGATTGAATTTTCGGTCCTGGTTGAGTTTATCGTTCTAAATTGGCCTATTTCCTCATGCTTCGATAATCCCACTCTAATTGGTTGGTTTGACCTAAGTATTTGCATGATATTTGATACATCAAATTATTTTGTCTAATTGGGTCAGTAGGATCCTTAAGGTGATAAATCTTATCTCTAAGTTAGTTTGTAAGTTTGAATACCATCTTTATTCCAGCCTTATTCAGAATCTGTCACAGAATTTCTGATAGTTCTTCTTGATATGTTTACACCATGTAAGATTTGAATTCCTTTCTAGGCGTTTTACAATCACTACTGATATTGTGGTTTCTCTTCTTCATATGAGTCCCTGTAAGATTTTTGTTTAAGAAAATCTGTAGGTTAGCAAGCGACCAGTAAGAGGCATTAATGCTCAGTTACTACCCCCCCTCCTTTCTTTATTGTATACGATTTCCTTAGTTAGATTATTAGTCCGTCTTCTAGCTCGACCATTCAAACGTTTCACCGAGCCTACCTTCATAAGTGTTGGAGGAGTTAATGTAAAAATCTAAGTATCTAATCAGGTATGATGGTTTTTTATAAACGTTCTAATGCAGAAGTTGTGCTCCTTGACGTGATGTAGACTCCTGGATTAGAGTCCCCATAACAACCAAACCCAGTGATTTGGCACTCTAGGTAATATGACTCAGGATCGATCTCAGTGGCGTAAATGCATCCAAACGTCATCTTGATCGTCATACTGAATTTCATTACTGTCTCACCCTTTCTCATTCTCTTTTAACGAATTTCTACCACTTGACTACTTTTCTCCTTATTGCTCTGTCTTTCACCTTAGTGTGATGGTGTGAGGTAGATAACTTGAACCGTTACGCAGCAATGCCAGGTCTCACGTTGCTGCATCAAGTAAACTTATGTTGTAGTGTCATTCTCAACAGTTATTACTACATCTGGCTGATCGATAAAACATTTCTTCTGGGAATTTCTACGTGAATTATCACATAACTTGGGACATTCATTTCCTGATTATCATCTGGCTTTTTTGTGTTTCCTAACGGGAAGAAAGGAACATTTGATTTGCCTACAAATACATACTTCAGTTGTAGTTTCCAAAATTCATTCCAGATGATTTTAAGTACATAGTTGAATATTCTGTAAGTGTTTTTCTCTTGTGAGTTTCGTGGGGGTATCCTTCATGATTTGTGATGAGCATGGAAGATGTATAACATGTGGTTTGTCGGTATTTGTGATATCAGATAGACAGACAGATCAACACGGAATCTGTTGCAGAAGTGCACTTATTCACATTGTGGCACTTTTATGAAGTATAATTAAGGCAAAATGATTGACATCGAGGTAGGTAAAGTGTATGACAGGATGGAGAATAGATAGAGGAACGTTAACGCAAATATTGGGAACTTCGAAGGTGACCAGGAGTGTATATATCTGCACCATCGTGACCAATTCTGATCGGTATTACTAAGAATCCACAGTCATTATTTTCTAACATTTTGAAGACTTCAGGCAGCAGCCAGCCGGTCAGTCAGTCAGTCTACACCTCCCTATATAACGGTGACATATGCCAATGGGGACCGATCATTTCGGTCCAGTTAACGACGAAGTAATACAAGCAACAATATAAAAACTATACCCATCACACAAGAATTAGCTATCGTGACTCGGTTACCTAGTAAATAACGCTCTGGCGTTCGAAACAACCGGTCCTGGGCCTGAGTCCTAGTGGGAACAACATAAGTCACTGGTAGGCAGGTGCATTTAGATGACGAGTCCCAAATAGGACGAAACGTCAGCCCTGGGTTCCTCTGGTAGCCACTATCCGTCGTTAATATTTATTCATCTTAATTTAGAATGAAGTCAGCCCCTTATTTTTTATGTGTGAAGAACATGACTGAAAATAGGTTAATAGGTATCAGTTTGACTATTCGACATATCCGTGGTTTGGCTGGCTTGTATTTGATACTGGATGATGACTGAAGGTGAAATGCTAATCTGGCCAGTGGCAGAATTCGAACCGGTGGCCGGGTTACTGGCTTCGTGCTCTATCAGCTGAGCTACGAGATCTGGCTAATAACCAGACCTTAATTTCCCTTCAGTCACTAAGGATGAGTGACTAGGAAACCATTGTGAATACGATGAAGGGATAGTATCGTATCACGTATTTACATGGCAGTCGCGAAAAAACCCCTGTCAGTTGAGGTGAAATTAAGATATCGTTAGCAACTTGGCCGTGTAACTCAGTTGGTAGAGCCCCGGAGCGGAAACTCAGAGGTTACTGGTTTGAATCCAGCTGTGACCTAGATTTTCATTCCACCTTCAATCATCATCATTCTTACTGTTGTATATATTAGTTATTTATACACTTATCAATCGATGAATATAGGATTGAATGGAACATGTGTAATACGCTTAAAAATCATTTGCACGTTCATACAGTAGTAGATAATGAGACAGACACATCTATTGCATTAGAATCAATGATACTACTGCTTGGTTGCAATGATCTGCAGCGGATAGGTTGCAGTTCGAACCGGTGACTCATTAGTTGAAAATTGAATGCCTAGATCAATGTGAACCACAGCTACTCCATGGTAGAATGTATTCTTCAGGGGAGATTATTGGAAACATTTCAGAGAATTGTGCAGTTATTCTTCCAACTAAAGGGAATAACTTACTTTTACTATCATTGGGTTTTTCACTGAAACGGCCTCGGGCTATAATAAATGATATGAGAGCTATATATATATATATATATATATATATATATATATATATATATTCGACAAAAGTGGTTGTCAGATTTGAACCGGTTAAGTTTATGATTTTGGACAGAAGTCAAGACTTTTAAATAATGAGGAATATTCTTATACCTCCACTTGTTGCGTTGCTTTCTCTTATCTGGGTGGTTTATTCGTGAGGCTTTCATTGTCCTTCCAGAGAGTATCACCAGGAATAACTTCAATATAAAGTTGAGACTTGGTTAGCAATTCGTTGTTGTTGCTCAGTTGTTTGACAGAAATCACTGGGAATACCTCTGGCTCAAATATTTTTCAATTTTCAATGTTTTCAATGAATTACTATTAGTATTGCTTCATCGAACTTCTAAAATTTATCAGCTAAGACTAACTATCTCACTGAGATGCCAATCACTATTGCATAAAGCTTGTTTTCAATAAATACTTTTATATATCTGTAAATATGATTGCTTCTCTACTTTTGCCTTTTTCTATCCCCTAGATTTCTCATAATAATCCATCTTTACTATCATATCATGATGATGTATTCACATCTGATGTAACTCAGGCCAATCTAATTCAATTAATAATATCACTTATTCATCCATGGGGTGTTGATTCTGCAATCGATCAAATTATTGAAAAGTTTTGTAATTATCAATTTATAGAAAAGGATAAATTGGAGTCAGTATATGATCATCGTCATCGTCATCAATTATCACGTGTACAACAATCTGTTTGCATTGGTCTTATATCAAAGTGTGGTTGTATGAGTTTAAGCATGCCTGGTAAGTTGTCCAGTTTGATAGTGTGCCTAGTATTATCTATAATGCTAATTGACAGGATTAGAAAAATGTGAACTATTGGATTTTGGCCCTGTAGTTGGATGTTTAGTGTGTTCTTCGTGAAACCTGAAATTTATGAATTCGTTTTTATCCACCTGTGAAGTGTAGCAACTTGAATGTATCTTCTTCCAATTCAACTATTTCATTAATTTTAATCTTTCGTCTAAAGTCCTTGGTATAAAGTGTATAGACAGATTATTTCAATAAGTTGTTAGTACTTGCTGTAATTATTATTGTATTCAAGTATATTTGTTATACCTGTAAATTTCTGGATTATTTTTGATATGATTAGTAATATAAAACATCGAAAGGGATCAGTATATAATTGTTTTTATATCATACCGAGTCCCAAATAGGATGAAATGCGCATCCTGAATCCCACTGCTAGCCACTATCCATCATTACTATCATAAGAGCACAGGTAATATCGAGCCATCCGCACAGGATCTCATATGCCAATAGAGATCTATCAATTCGGTCGAATCAACGACGGTATGATATAAAAACAATTGTATACTAAAAACTATACTCGTCGCACAAGAAGTGGCTATCGTGGCGCAATGGTGTAGTGGTTAACGCTCTGGCGTTTGAAACGATCTCTTGCGAGTCTGAATCCCAATGGGAACAACATCACTCATTGGGAAGCAGGCACCTCTAGCTGATGAGTCCCAAATAGGACGAAATGCCTATCCTGGATTCCACTGCTAGTCACTATCCATCCTTACTACCTAGAGGGATCATCTTAGGAAGATCTAATCCCGTATGGTAAGATCATAAACTGCTTACTACAACTTACTTACAAAGCTATTGGTTGTTTGGAGTCCGTACATTTTCAGCAATACAACACCGATATAACTGATATCTTTTGACTATATGAATGAATATCATTTGTACTCTTTGACTCCATGCTGTTCACATCTGTCTGACCTAATCTTTATGCTTTCTTCATGTTCACTTGTTGAATTTAATTACTATATTACTATGTTTCTTGCCTTCTTTTTCTTCTCCTATTTTGATTTTCAACTTGAAATAGAAAGGAATAAACTGCTTTGCTGTATTTCTTCATTTGAAAAAGACTAGTCTAAGCCATGTTAAGAAGTATATGCTGTTGGATATAGTGATATTAGAAGCTTATGGATGAAGATGTTGACTGGAAAATCTATCACTCTCAATATTCTTCAGAACTGTTAACATTTTGATTACCTATTAAATGATTAGTATACTGCCCTACAACAATCTATTCTGTCCTATTATACGACTGTGAGACATGGTCACTGAAAGTAGAAGATATGAAGCGGTTACAGGGTTTTGATCACACATGTCATCGTAGTATTACTCACGTGTGATGCAATCATTGTGTGAGCAATGTAGAGGTCAGATGAAGGGTACTGGTTAAGACAAGCAAGTCGGTTGACGAGGTTGTGAACCTTCATCGTCTGAGGTGGCTTGGATATGTACTGCACATGCCATGCCAGGTGAAGGTGGATTAGGTTTGAAGAGGGTTCAGAGTGGCGAAACCAAAACCTGGCAGCAGTCGATAAAACCTTGACTATTGTTCTGAGCCGTGTGGGGAGATACAGACTGACTGCTTTGTGGTTGAGAACTCATGGTGATATGACTAAAAACCGATGGCCATGATGCAGATGTATTCACTCCTTGGCAACGAGTGCTTGAATATTTTCACTAATCTTCGAGATGTTTATTCTATCTCACACAACTTTGTCTACTTTGATAACAGTCTTTTCTTGTTTACTTATTCTTTATACACTACTGTGAAGTGTGGCAAGTTGAGTCGATACAGCTATATGAAGGGTTCTACGATGGTTTTGTTTGTACATGTGTATGTTAACACTTTGTTCAGCTTCATTTGTTTATTTTCTCGATTCTCATATCCTTCTTAGTTATTAGTTCACTAGATTCGCTGTATTAGCTCATTAGTTTGAACACTCAGTTTTCAAGTGGTGAGCCTCACGTATGAACCCTACATCACCTACTTTGACCTTAACAGCTGGGTAGTATCATAAGTCTTCATATGATGGATATAGCTTATGGCCTAGTACTTAAAATTACCTCGGGTTAAATTACTCGTCATTCTGGAGTAGGGCTAAAAATGGTTATCTGACTGTAAGTTAGTATGAGCTTATGAACCCTATCTGTTATCATAAACCATGTAAGGAGATGCAAACACTGAGGTTGAGGCCCTTGTGATAATCGATATCGATGATTAGAGACCTAAAGTGATTCAATTTGAAATTGGTTATAGTAACGCAGATGCATTCATAATTTTCACTTTTGTCTCAACCGATCTGTAACACTTAGTTTTTGACTTTGTTCGCTCTTCCTCTTTCTTCAGGTTTTCCATAGCTATTGACTAGATTATTCCTATGCTTTTGTCTTTCATCTTACTGTCTTAGGTCTTGATGAATTGACATGTTGTATAAACAGCATGAATCGTTACCCAATGATACTAGGTCCCATGTTGATGTCGAATTGATTTGATCCTTCTGAGTGGCATGGGTTTTATGATCTCTGAGGGAATATCACTTCTCTTAAAGGGTTACGGAAATAGTTTACTGATGAGTGTTAACAGGTAGGAAACCTTGGTTCAGAGCTTGCTGTCATTTGTGTTAAACCATTTAATATTATTTAGAAATCAAAGTATCGAAATTAAAGTCAATACAGTATTATAACATTCGTACAAGTTGTATTTATACCGACTAATGCATATCACAATTTGGACCGATGAATTATTAAAGAAATGGGAATTTATAGTTATAATTGTTGTTATGTGGAGTTGTGAGAATGAACGGAAATACTTAATGATTGGTAGTCGAGGATTGAGACGATATAACCCGAGTGATTCGCAGAGAGAAGTCAAAAGACTGAAAACCAGATGAATTTATAGTATCTCGGTGTGAAGCGTTTATAAGTGAAAACTGACCCTATTTATAGAGTTTACAATAACCTTGAAAGACAAGGAATCATTAGTACATTTAAAGAGTCAGGAGCCAATCAGAACAACAGTGGGTCATACGAAATATGATCCATGCTCGGAAAAAGAGCGCGAATAAACAGTTCAAATATATACAAAACTATAAATGTAAAATTTTAGGGATATTGGCAGCCCTAACAATAATATTAACTCATAGTGAGTTAACAGAAGTATACACCATCCTATAGGACAATAAATAATATCATCATCATCATCATCATTATCAACATAGGACCAGGCATTACTGCGTAACGGTCCGAGTTGCCACACCTCATATCAGCACATCAAGTAAAAAGGTGGTGAGGCGAAGGATGGAGATAAGTGAATGCAGTCAAAAGAAATATAAAGTACGAGAAGAAAGGAAAGAGGAGTGACAAAATGGTGAGATTCGGTATAGCGTTGTTAAGATGAGGATAATGTGTGTATACATCTGCGCCACTGACTTCGGTTCAGAGCCATATCACCTAGGGTCTCCAACCACTGGTTCCTCTTGTCCCGTGGACCCCAACCACCTGGTCTGCATCGTTCTACATGGCCTAAACCAACAGTCAGAGACTTCATACATTGATGCCATGTTTTAGTCTGGCCACCTCGGGCCTTTCTCCAGCCTGGACCCACCTCAGCCAACATTGTGTGACGAGGCAATCGGTGACTAGGCATACGTGGTACGTGTTCCAACCATCTCAGTTCACAACCTCGTCAACTGACTTACCTCTTCTCCCCAAAACTCTACACCTAACTTCTGCATTACTCACATGGTGACACCACGGAATACGTCCTATACTACGAAGGCAACGGTGGTCAAACACCTGAAGCTTTTTTGTATCCTTCACTTTCAATGGCCATGTTTCACAGCCATACAGTAGAACAGGGCGGACTGTTGTGCAGTACACACGACCCTTAATAGACAAACGAATATCACAGCGGCGCCATAGGTGGCGCAAATTGGCAAAAGCCAATCGAGCCTTTTGTATCCGTGCAGAAATCTCATCGGCAACTAACCCACCGGGGTTGATCCTACTTCCCAGGTAAATGAAGTGGTCAACACACTCAAACACTTCACTCTCTATTGTTAGTCGCGGTACCACTGAAGACCAGTCCTGGAGCAAACATTTGCATTTGGGTGGTGAAAATCGCATCTCAAACATTCTCAAATTCCCACTCAAAGTGTTCAGAAGACTCTGCATCTTGTCAGCGTCTTCACCTAACAGGACTATGTCATCTGCATATTCTAGATCTAAAGAAAATTCACCTATGATTGGGACAATAAATAAATAATAAAGTGATCATAGTTTTTTTTTACATTCTGTGTAATCACTACCACTTCCTATTATCCACGAAGAAATTAACACATTTATGTAGGGTACTTCTTATGGATAAACTACTTTTAGGATGTGTTCGATGACAACATTCAAACAGGTCACATTGTCACCAACTGACAAGTGAATGAAATATACTAATGAAAAACATAACTTGTTAAAACAAGCAATCATTCCAGTTTATAGATTACGCTAACTAGCTACAATGATCTAAACATTTCACTTGTTTTAGACTGAGCTCATTAACATGGATGCTTGGAAAAATTTAGCTTACAAAAGAGTCGAAATGTTCCAGATCAACTACTGAGTCTGGTTGATTGAAGAATGACTTTGACTACTGCCTGTCTCTTATTGGAAATTTCTTACTTTAGTAAACGGTGTTGTCTCATAGTTGAGAAAAAAAAATCACCACATGATGCATGCAGATGAATGTCTTATTAAAGAAGTCTACTTTTCAACTTTGTATTATTCATCGTGGATCGATATCAGTTGGAGAACCATCGAAGACCTGTGAGGTCTGGACAGCCGTTTTGTCGTACCATTGGACTCCCCAGCAGCACGTAACCACGACCCCATCTATCAGGAATCAAGATCAGAACCTTCACCTTTCACGACGAACGCGTTAACTATTCAGCAACTGGGTTACAGTTCAATACTTTACTGTTTCCAACTCCTGTCAATTTGTGATGTAGCACTACTATCACCCAAGGTCTTCAGTTGTCATCCGCTTCCTTTCTGACTGGTTAACCCCACAAGTAACGACTTCGGAAGCATGCTACTGATGAACACTGCACAATAATAGATTTTGAGGTGGATGAGGATTTATATTTTAAGGTAGTATTTATCACGAACTGAAACTGACTGGAAAATCGTTGTAAACGTGAGAGCATTGGAAAACTGTTATGTCGTCAACAGTTCACACCCATGAAACCGAAGGGGATCGAACCAAGCACCTTCCGGTCTCGTGGTGAGCACATTACCATTGGGCCGCTTTCGTATTTTCAGTGATTCTTCAACCGATTTTAGTCCCTAATGAATACCGAATTGAAACCAATAAAATTCCCATTAATCTCCCGATGGAATCTAGTTTTATGCCATCATCTAGGTAGAATATATATCTAGCAAACGTGTTTCGAGCTTGAGAAAGCACTGAACAGATCTGTTCTCGACCATATATTAAGTAGCTACAACAATGTTAATTAATAGACTGGAAGTTACTATGCTATTGCTTGGCGTAACTTGTAGCTTCTACATTTTGTTCTCACTGGAAGAAAATAAGTGCTTGTTAATTAAAACCATCTTCTCAGTTTGAACACTAGTAGATATTTACTCCATTAGTTTATTTTTCTCATTCTTTTCTTTTAAAGGTTATTTCTCAAATTCTATCATGAAAAGGAAACAGAAATCAATTAGTCTACCGCATACATATCGTCTTTCATCGGTAATTTCAACTAATTTAATCCTTTGTGGAGTTGCCTTGATCGAATTGATGACTTCATTGAATATGAAATATCTTCTACGCTTATCGCATACAATTGGCCTAACATCATCATCATCATCATTATCTGATTCTTTAACGAATGGAGGCGATACGATAGCAACACTAAAATCTGTTCATATTAATTGGCGTACGAATTGGTTAAAATTTGGTGCGTTTCTATTGGAACGCTTTATCAATCAACTATTATCTGAAGATAGAAATATTAATAATAATAATAATATCACATCAAAAGGACAATCATACCTATCTCTACCAATTGAGTTGAGTTTATTTGTACGTAAATGGCAAGATCGTTGTTTACCAGTAAGTGAAGAATGTAGTATTTTCTTTGACTATCTGAGATAGCCGTGGTTTGGCAGACTAGTACTGATTGGTACTGGGGTGATGTTTGAAGATGAAATAAAAATTTGAACTGCGGCCGGGTTCGAGCTACCGGGTTCCCGGCCTAATGCTAGAAACTAACCATAGGATAGACATGAAAACAACCCTTAAAGTAGTATATAAAAGTGATCAGAGCCGAGTGCTTACATTTATAGAAGTTCTTACCATCCGTAAATTCAAACCCCCCCTGGCTTTATGTATTGAAAAACAATTTGTACTCACGTTGAACCTACTTTGGTAGTATTGATTTTAATTTTCATACCAAGAGTAACATGATTAAGGTTTCTTTTTCTCTGCCCTTCCTATTCCTATATTCCCCATTAATTTCATTGACACTTTTCATAAATTTCCATATAAATAGTTCAACAAGTCCATGTCTGATCAGATTGTTCGAAATGTATAGCGCTAACACATCACATGTTTCAGATAATCTTCATCTTCTCATTACGCTGTTTAAATTTATCAAACGGACCAGTTGTTTTACATAAACAGAAGATAGAACACAATTTCATTTCAATGGTATTCACCGTATTTTTTAGTAGCCTTTCCAAACAGTCGTTCAGTTTTAAGACTTCATTCATGCTTCGACTGTTATCAAAATTGTCTTTGTCGTTATCACTATTATTATTATTATTATTATTATTATTATTATTATTATTATTATATTGTTTGATGTTCAAATACCGGGTGACTTTAAAGGCCACCCTAGCAACTGACAAGACAGCCAATTACATCCCTTTATTTCATGGGAAAGTACTTACCCAGGCAACAGAACGAAGCCTGACTGGCTATTAAACAGTTGCTAGGGTGGCCTGTAAAGTCAATTATAAAGAGTAGTGATTTCAAGACTAACTTTAAAGACCACCTTAGTAACTGCTAAATTGACCAATCAAGTGTCAGGATTTTGTCCTGAAAGATAGTTTCTTATAGAATCAAGGAACGTGATTGGTTATCTCAACATTTGGTAGGGTGGCCTTTAAAGTCATCCCTTTTCGTAGTCGAACTAAATTTTTCCATCCTATTTTTTCCCCACCTTATTTGCACAACTGGAAAAAGCCTCTGTGACCGATTTGCTAAATTACTCATCTACATAATATTGATCTTGGTTCCGTATCACGATGTAATTGGATGAATGTAAAGGTCATCTTCTGTACCAAAATTTGAGTATTAACCCGAAAACCTGAAGGACTCTAAAGGCCACCCTATCAACTAGTGAGATAACCAATTTCATAAAAATTTACCATCCCAGACAAAATACGAAAAACTGACTGGTTATTTCAGCAGTTTTCTAGGATGGACTTTGAAGTCGCTTGAAAACTTAATGTCAGATTCATACTTTTGAAAAGAGTCTTCCTAGCATGGTCAAAACGTTGAGGAATAGTACAAAATATTTGTTTATTCTGTTATTAGTTCTTATATATTACGCCGGGATTACACAAGTAAAAAGAAATACACCTTATACGATGAATCATACTCGTTGCTCAAGTTTTTCCAAACCATCCAGTCCATTGTTGATCGGGATACATTCAAATATATAGTTTGGTATACATCTAAGCTATTAAGTGTACTACAATACGGAGAGTTGGACATAGATTTGTTTTTTGTATCATTCTGTATAAAATCCATCATTCATAAAATACATTCAAATTATTCTCAAACGAATCATAAAGGGTAGAAAACTTCTTGTGTAATGCTATTCTATTATCTTGTTACTCATGCAAAAATACATGATGCTAAAGATACATATGAAGAAGAAGAAGGGGAATAAGCACCTTGAACGAAGAGATGCTTTTCAGCGATTTCATTCAAAAAGCTATACACTACAAACTGACACATTTGCTAGTTTATCCAAAAGTAGTTTGAACAAACTATGTAGAAATACAAGCGTGATCAGAAAGAGATCATGAAGAGGTGTGAATAGTAAGCTACTTGAAAAGTGATGGATAGAAGTGGTTTTAAATGAGTACCATAGAGGGAGAAGGGATTGAACTATTTTTTTCACACATATAGCTCACAATTCTCCAATGTGGATGGTTGGTAAGTGTTTTAGTGATGCATAGGAGATAAAGACACGCAATTTTTGGAGGGTTTCTTTCACTTTATGAATGACATTGAATGTGAAGGTTCTCGATATATATATATATATATATATATATATATATATATATATATATATATATATATAACGCAACTGTATCAATGTATAATCCTCGTACACAAGTGTATCGGTTCAAGTTGCCACACTTTACGGTAGTAGACGGAGTTACGTGAGAGAATGAATAATCTGAGGGTAACGGTTAGTGCAAATATTCAAGCTTTAGATGTCAGGGAGTGAATACATCTGCACCATTGTGACCAATCTTCAGCCATGTTACCAAGAGTTCTCAATTGCTGATATCTTTCGTTTCGTGGACCACAACCAGGCAGTGCATATCTCCCAACAAAGCTCAAACCAGCAGTCAGAGACTTCATCCACTACTTTAAGGTTTTGGTTTCGCTGCCTTAATCCTTCTAACCTACTCCGACTTCCCCTAATATGGCAAGTCGAGGTAGGCGGTGGGTCGGCATGCCCAGTATATGCCCATACCATTTCAATCGATTATGGTGCATAGCCTCATCAACCGACTTGTCTATCTCTTCCAGTACCCTTCGACTGACCTTAATGTTTCTCACACTATTAGATTCACTTAAACAAGTTAAATTTCTTTGTTAGGCGGAAATTTGTCCAAAAGCATCTCATGCATTGTCGTGGTACCATTAATCCATTCAGGATTTATAATCCACATCACTTGTTCTTTAAGGGTTTACCATGTCAGATAGTTTGGTTAGCAAACGTTTTAAACTTAAAAATGGTAGCAGATTCAGGAGTAAAGTTGCGACATCGACTGTATCGAAGTTGAATAATAGTCAGGTGTTTCCTGGTGGCAAGATATCACTTTCTGTGGAACTGTCTTCCTGGTATCGGAAAGAAAGTTAAAAGACTACACTAGTAACTGGGATGCAGGTACGTTTAACTGACGAGTCTTGAGTTGAAAGAAACTCATCTTGGATTGGACTTCAATCTGTTATTCTTGTTGAATTTCCTTCAATTAGTTTATTGCAAAAACCCTTTCTCAGAATTATTTCCTTAAGTTGATTTACCGCAATATGTTTTCCATTGGTTAGTTTTTGTGAGCATTATTGTTCTTTTCTTATGGTATTCAAGCAAGATACAATATATCCTAGTGGTCAATAGATAGAGGGTAGATTTGAGCTCGTAAAAGTAGATGACGAGATAGACGAATTTTATTGTTGAAGTAGTACATTTTCAACTATTGCCTCAAGAGTTAAAACGCACATCTCCATCCTCTATCCTTTTTCAATAGTCGATGTACACGACTACTGAACTACTTGTAGTTTAATGTTGTTGCTTGTATTATCCCATCATTGATTGGACCGAATTGGGCGGTCTCTATTGGCATATGGGCCCCTGCGTGGATGCCATGATATTGTCTGTGTTTCATTCGTACATTAATGATGGATAGCGACTAACAGTGGAATTCAGGAGGCGCATTTCGTCCTATTTGGGACTTCTCAACTGGATATTGTTCCTGAGTTCGAGTCCCAGCCGGAAAAACATCACTCAGTGGGAGGGAGGTACACCTGACTGATGAGTCCCAAATAGAACGAAACGCAAGTTCTGGACTCCACTGCTAACCACCATCCCTCATTAAGATCTATAGTTTAATCAAAAATTCTGCCTGTACGAGTTATTGTTTATATTGTTTTATACAAGGAAAGTATATCAAGTTTGTTTGACTGAACTATTTGCATTAATTTAACATTATTATCATGGATAGATTAATTATTGTTTCTTTCAATTTTATTATTCAATAGATACGTTATGCTGCTCGCACATTGCTACTTACATGCTTAGATCGTTTATCACTAGAGGATCGAAACATCTTGGTTGCCTATTGGTCTGCACTACTACCACCTTTTTCATTGACTACTAAAGATCAGCAACAGCATTCACGTCAAATAATTCATCAACAAAGTTCATTGGATCATACAAATCATGTTGGTCATATCACAGATATATTAGCCAATCATACCGAATTGAAAACTGCACGTAAACAAAGTTTACCACAAATGAATGGATTGACAAATCAAAATTCATTTGATTCAACCTTATTATCTACTGAAGATGTAATTGTACAAACGAATAATGGTGGCGGTGATGTATCGAACCAAGTGTCAACTTATACTGTTGTATCATCAACTTCATCACCATCAAGTAGACACTATGGATCTAATAGACAAGTACAGACAGATTCATTACCAAATATAACTGAATCTGTCAGTATGACTAGCTTAAATTCACATCTAAATATATCGATGGTATCGGATAGTTCATGGTGGATGACGCTGAATGGTTATCGTGTATCGCCTAGAGAACATGCACGTCTTCAGGTAAGGCGATGATGGTTTATTGTTCAGAGAGAGTTGAAAATGAGGACTATAGTGGTAAACATTTGGTTTTCGGTGTCCCCCTTTACAGCCACAACTACACGGTGACACTTCCCCTATTTATGTAACTTAAAAAAAATGTTCACCTTAGGTTAGCCATCACCTTTCTCGGAGCTGTTAGCTTAAAGCGTAATCTATAAGGTTGGCGCGAAGAGTTATGTTCTTATCATATCCCATGACTATAAAGAAGGTTCTGCATTTAGAATTTAGAAGATAAACTAAGCTCATCGACTTTCGATTAAACACTGTCATTAAAGAGAAAATGTTTATTGTGGTTCATGTCGATAATGCTTCTGCTGAGCAAACATCCAGTTCTAAAGCATGAAATCTTGTTTCCGTTATAATCATTCAATTTTATACGTCATTGCCTGTAGTTTTCAGACATTCATTGTTTGCAGTTATTTGGAGTAAGAGCTCAAACTGTTCAGATAACTTTACATGATGGTTCAGTTAGGTCAAGATTTTAATTAAATTGGAAGAAAAAAAAAACTAAGTATTGGTTTCCTATTGCAAATGGTTAGGGGATAAAGTGCTCATTGGGGCGTCTGTAAGTCTCTACCTGATCGAAAACAAACACTATTTTAGAGTTTCAAACAAGGATAAAACAAATACATAGTGGATCATGACTTTCAGTTGTTCCGTATGTAATATCAGTTCAACATCTTGAAACTGATTGCTTCTTCACAGATCAATCAATCGAACCAAGTGTTCGCATCACACCATATTACATTATATATTATTATTACTATTTGTCCCTTGAATTCCTAACGGAACATAGGGATTCAGTAGCACGTCTCCAGTGCATTCTGTTCTCTGCAATCTTTTCAACCTGGCTCCACGACTGCATAGAAGTTCTCATTTCTTCCTCACACCATCTCCATGTCACCTTCACCACGGGCGCCCAATTCGCCGTTTCCCACTCGAGTGCCTGGTGCGTGATGTCCCCGAATGGTCTTCTCAGTGCATGCCCAATCCATCTCACTTCACACCGTACTTCATACTAAATAGTGGAATAAAATTGTTTGCTCGTACGCAACACAGTTGTGATTTATTGTTGACTAATCAAATATATTCTGGGATTATTAACGTATGTTGGCCATTAGAACTGTCCAACATCGATCATTATTTTAGGTACGAACCGCAAATTTACATTTACCTATTAGAACACGGCTAGCTGAATCAGTGAACTGTATAAATGCCAAAGTCCTATAGTTAACCTTACTCAAACAATATGAACACCTTTGATCGATGTGATCTATTTCAATGGGGGACTTAAGTCTATGAACCATGTACTCTGCAGAAATCTACGCTGCTATATATCTACTACCATTTGAAAGGCAAAAGTATAGACGGTATTTATTTGATACTTATAAGAAGGCAATATAACCCATGTTTCTTCAGACATTCCCTGGCGAAGATGTGTAACGTGGAAACAACTTGTTTGTCAGTCGATTTTTAAGTTTAGATAGTCGTTATTAACATACTCATCATATGATGCATTTTCCACTTTTGTATAGTTTGTTTGTCTGTTCCTTATGGGTTATCGCCTGTTTTGCTAATTGGTGGCAGTCATTAACGTTCTCACTAAGCTGATATAATCGAATTTGTCGCCTTGCAGGATACGATAGTTTCCTCGAAGCAAAACCATTCAGCATGAAGTCTAGATCATTCAATTTAGAGTTGATATTGAATACCTCTAACTATTCAACATTGTTTGAAGAATACTATGGGATAACACTTTGAGGTTGCTGTTAGTGTATTACTTTTATCATTAGGATATGCATGTTTCTTTGTATGAAATTTAATTTTGTTAGGCTTATCTTTTACAGAGAGATATACAAAAATGTCAGGTATGCTCTTGGTGTTTATTCTACGCATTGCTATACTGCGTTCATTTGTATGTGTTTGTATGTGTGTGTGTGCATTTTTGAGTGTGTATGCGTACTTCTGCAAATGTGTTGCGCTATTTGCTGCTCTGCTTCTCACTTTTTTTCCTTCTGTATCTCTGTGCACATATTCAACTCTACGGTTTGATTTCATTAGCCTATAATTTTTGTTCTTATCAATTTACTGTACACTTTGCACAAAAAGATTCAACTCAGAGATCTTTTTATTTTGTTTATTTTTGGTAGTTGTGAAGAGATTTCAAGTTTTCAAAGATCATTTCGTTTTTATTTCCACAGCTACTCCTTAGTTGCCAACGTCATCATCGATATCAACATAAGACCAGGGATTACTGCGTAACGGTTCAAGCTGACACACTTCATACACCACATCGAGTAACAATGCAAGCAATACAATGAAAGACGAAGAAATAAACGACAATCGTTCGAAAGCAGTAAAAGAAAGGAAAATGTTGAATTCAGTACGCTAACTGAGATTAAGGTAATGTGTGGATACATCTGTGTCACTGACATTTATTCCCAACCATAACATCTCAAGTCTCCAACCACTAGTCTCTCGTGTCATGTGGACACCAACCGACTAGTCTGCATCTCTTCACGTGGCTCAGACCAACAGTCAAGGACTTCATGCATCGATAGTATATTTCAGTCTGACCACCCCAAGGCTTTCTCCACCCTAAACCTAATTCAGATAACATTGTGTGACAACGCAGATGGTGATTAGGCATGTGTCACACATGTTCCAGCCATCTCAGTGGATGGAGGTTCACAGCCGCACCAACTGGATTTCTTTACACACACACACACCCTACTGGAACTCTACATATGGCTTCTGGGTTTCTAATGTGGTGACATCACGACACTCGACCTATGCTAAGAAGGTGACGGTGGTCAAACACCTGAAACCTTCTCATGTCCCCTACCTTTAATAGCCATGCTTTGTAGCAATGCAATAGGACAGAGTGAACTGCAGCACTTGTGAACTCCATCTTTAATAGACAATCGGATATCTCGGTGGCTATGCAGATACAGTAGGTTGCCGAAGGTCACCCGAGCCAATCACGTAAACAGTTATTAGTGCATAAAAACGAAGGGCTTAAGGCTGGGATAAGGCGATTAGGCCCTACTTTTATCCTTCTCCCTCACCTTCAGTCTTTCTATAATTGATATGCAGTCATGAAAACAGTCTTTATTCAGCATGCTTGTACATTATTGTTCACTATCCATATTCATGAAAACAAGACAACTTAGAGAATAAATTGAGCTTATGCCTTATATATCAACTGTTAACACCTTAGGATAAACATAAACTTAGTGTAAATGAAAATTAGTATGATTTTAGGCTCGAACAAAATAAACAAATACATGGGAGAAGTTCAATGGAAAAATCAAAATCAAATCAATAATCTTTTTTCCAACTGAATCATAAACCAAAACACAATATCACTGCCATTTGTACTGCTGACATTATTTACTTGATTGATTTTGACAGTTCCACCTAACATTATCACCGTGCATGTTTCTTCTAGTCATGTGCGAAACCTTATTAATAATTTCAGTCCATACTAATTGTATGTTCATATTCGACTGTTAGAATCCAGGTTCTGGAACACAGGCACATTTTTCGACGCCTGATACTAGCTGTTTTCTCGACCTGAAGGTATCGATCTATAGGTTTTAAGACAGTGTCTCTCACTGAAAGGTGTCCCGATTAGGTGCATCACTGTATTCAGGGCTCTTTACTCAGGCGCCAGTGGACGTGTCAGAGTCTGGTGAGTTGTCAGACGAGCTGTATACTTCGAATGGTGTCCGTCAAGGATACTCACCCTCTCCATCCCTCTTCATTTTTATCATAGATGTTTTTATGGAGATCTCCCTTCCATGAACTGACTTCACAAGGAATGATCTGTTCGTCGGAGAATCATTGGTAGATCTAGAAATACCAAGATGACTTAGTCCTACTGCATACAGAGGCTGATAAGACTCAGTCTTCTGATCAGTTCGATTGACAGTTTCAGAATGTTTTTCCTGTTGTCTGAGTGCGAAGTTTTTGCGCAAGGACTGGTCCTCTGCTGTGTCCTGGCTAACAATGGAGAGTGACGCAACCGAGTGTGTCGAATATTTCACTCACTTGGGAAGTTGGATCAGCCGTAGTGCGTTGATGGCCAACGAAATCTTTCCATATATACAAAAGGCTCGATTGGTTTTTCCCAAATTACTTCACTTATGACCGCCACGATACCTGATTATCTGTTAAGGGTGCAGTTCACTGTGCTGCAGTTCACTCTGTTCTATTGCATTGCTACAAAGCATGGCTATTAAAGGTAGGGGACATGAGAAGGCTTCAGGTGTTTGGCCACCGTCACCTTCGTAGCATACGTCGAGTGTCGTGACGTTGCCACGTCGGTCCTTGACTGTTGGTCTGAGCCACGTGAAGAGATGCAGACTAGTCGGTTGGTGTCCACATGACACGAGAGACTAGTGGTTGGAGACTTGAGATGTTATGGTTGGGAATAAATGTCAGTGACACAGATGTATCCACACATTACCTTAATCTCAGTTAGCGTACTGAATTCAACATTTTCCTTTCTTTTACTGCTTTCGAACGATTGTCGTTTATTTCTTCGTCTTTCATTGTATTGCTTGCATTGTTACTCGATGTGGTGTATGAAGTGTGTCAGCTTGAACCGTTACGCAGTAATCCCTGGTCTTATGTTGATATCGATGGTGATTTTGGTCTGATTTAAGGTTGGGAGTGGGATATTCAAATACATTAATCGATATTTTCTAACTGCAGTTTCTCTGATATGACTTGAACCCTTACACAATGTTGGCAGTGTTATGTTTTTCTTAACTGCCAATACTACGGAATATCACAAACCCTTATGAACCTCATTCAACAGCTATATGAAGACCGCACATGCCTAGTGATTCACAATGGAAATCTCAGTGATGCCTTTGAAGTGAAGATAGGAGTAAGATAGGGCTGCTACCTACTAACACCGATGATATTCCTGATTGTAGTCGACTCGACTGGATCATGCAGCAAACCGTGAGGAGTTGTGAGATGGGCATATGCTTGATGGATGAAAATACCCTGGGAGATTTAGATTTCACCGATGATTTGTGTCTAATATCGCGCAAATTCTAAGATCTACAGGCAAAAATCAACAAGTTGACAGAAGATGCAACGAAGACAGCACTTCCTTCAGGTGAACCTAGAGAAGACGGAGGTGATGAAGATACCCAACCAGGCAAGACAGCATCGTTTCAACTACAGGCGGCACAGACAAGAATGTCAAAACCAGGATCGAAAAGGCAAGAAAAGCTTTCATTAACCGGAAATCATTGTGGAGATCTACTGCACTCAGCACAAAGAACAAGATTCAGATTTTCAACACGAATTCAATCAAGTCAGTGCTGGTATATGGTTCATAAACTTGGCGCGTCCCGGAAAGCACTTCCAACAAACTACAGACACTTATCAACCGCTGCCGCCTACACTCGCTTGATACTGAAGATCAGATAGCCAGAGAGAATTAGCAACAAGGAACTCTGGGAAGGAATTAACTAAGAAGCTATCACCCAACAAATATGCAGAAGAAAGTGGAGATGGGTCTGGTATACACTGAGAAGACCATTCGGGGACATCACGCTCCACGCCGGGTGCTCAATTGGAACCCAAAGGGGAAAGGCCGAGGTGAGGGTGACATGAAGGGGATCGTGCGAGGAAGAAATGAACGCTTGTGGGTAGTCATGGGGCCAGTTTGAAAGAGATTGCAGAGAAGAGATTGAAATGGAGACGTGCTACTGAAGCCCTATGTTCCATTAGGAACCCAAGGGACAAATAATAATAAATAAAGAAATTGGTTGATATATTGAACTGCTGTAGAGTTTTAATGTCAGTGAATGGCGGTGAATGATTCTCTAACTTATACTGTTTCATGAAAATCATTTTTATTGCATTATAGTGAACGTTTCCAGACACCTTTGGTTTTTAACTTGTTTTTTTCTGTTATTGATAATTCTGTTCAGCACTTACTTTTTATATTGACTGAGTTATTGAAGAGTCATCGAAACGAAATTTTTTCATGAATAATCATCGAAATCAGCAAAGGATCAGATATTACTGCCTAACGGTACGAGTTTCCACACCTCATATCCACCACATCAAGTAACAAAGCAATGAAATGGAAGATTAAGAAGGGAAGAAAAATCGATCAAAAGCAGTAGAACGTAGTAAAATAGAGGAAGGAAGAATGGGAGGATAATGAAATTAAGTGGAGGGGTTAAAATGAGGATAATGTGTGTATACATCTGCGCCACTGAAATCGGTCCTGAACCATATCATCTAGAGGCTCCAACCACTGGTTTCCTCTTTCCCGCGGACCTAAACCGGTTTTATTTAATCTTAAGCAGTTGTCGAATTCTGTCAACTTTTTTTGTAATGTTGGATATGTTAGATTTAGTGAAAGCTTCAAAAGTGTGCGTATAATAACGGTTCACACCACTGTCATAAGTGAAGTGGGATATGGGCATCATTTTTGTAACATTATGTGGGATGAATTGATTACTTTCGTGTGCACTGTGTTCACAAACCTATAAATCCGTCAAAATCACTAGCAACTGATGCACTCAAAGGAATTCTGACCTTGTAGTCTATTTTGGTGGCTAGCAGTGGAATTCAAGAAACACGTTCCGCCCTATTTAAAATCTATCAGCTGAATGTACCTTCCCTCCAGTGAAGTGATATTATTGTTCCCACTGAAACTCGAAGCCAATACTCTTCGTGTTGTTCAACAGGTTACTGAGGCGTGAAAGTCACCTCTTGTGCAACGGCTATCAGTTATTATTATTTATTAATACTTTTTATCGCACGTTGTTGTACTGTATCGAATTACTTGAACTCCTATGAGGTTGAGGAAATACACGTCATTGATTCCAGT